AAAGCTGTTCTGTAAATGACCTCGCCTCATATGCAGCTACAGGGGGGGGAAACAGGCTTATTCATTGCCTTATACACTGTGTTTGCAAACCAAATCTCCATAAATCTGCAGCACTCTGTTTTGAAATTCAGAGCTTGTGAAATTAAAAGAATTTTCCTGCATTTTCTTGAAAGTTTCATTGTACTTGAAAAAAAATCACAACATTCATAGAAATTCACTTTCCATTTAGATTTCTTTCCCTCATGGTGCCTTCAAAATGGTAAACCAGTTTTCAAAAGTAACTTGTCAATATCACAAACCTTATTAAGGTTAATCCTGGTTTCTCTCAATGATATGTTTAGGTCTTGCTGAAAGCTTCACTGCTACTGATCCATTTTCTTCAGTATGTTGGAAGCATTGCCACTTTTCCGTAGATTTCATGTGAACCTGGCAAACAGCCTGTTTAGACATTTTATCTGAGATTTTCTTCCTATCAGGCATACCTTTTTAATAGATGAATCATCCACGTAGCCTGTTTCAGAGGGGAAGTGTCAACAGGAAAAGCAAAATACAGCATCTTGTTGAATATAATATTCAACCCAAGGAATTTTGTTGTAATGGAAATTTGAAAAAGAATGGTTGTGTTTCCTAAACATTCCCCTTGTGCAATCAGGCAGATGTAGTTGATTAGGCATAATTGCTTTTTACTCTGAGATCTGTATTTGTTGCACTTGCTCTATTTGCAATAAGGTGTCCAGAGCCAAGGCAGGTGGTGGCAGGGCCTCGCCTGAAGGTGTTGTAAAATTGTGCAGTGAATCAGCCACCAATAGTTCAACAGTTGATTTCACAAAACACTTCTGAAAGTCCATTTTAGCTTTTCCCACTTTTAGATAGAGCCAAATGCTTTGGTTTCAGGCTGTATTCATCTCTAGTGAGTATTTTCTTCCAAAAGATATCAGTGAACACCTTTTGTAGGACTCTGCTTCCCACAGCTGGAACAAAGGCCTGGGGCGGGGGGAGGGCAGTATCCAGCAGCTGTGATTACAGGGAATCAACCAATCAGCTGCTGATGTAGGGGAGGGACCAATCAGGAATTGGGCTCGTCAGGGCTCTTTCTGAGCTGCAAAAATCCTGGAAGCTTCCTGTAATTTGAAAAATCCACCCGAACAGAGGATAGAGCCTAAAAAGAGGCTATGTCTGGGAAAACCTGGAGGTGTGGTATCTTTAGCTGATGGTAACATAGTTTAACATATCTTCTCCATAAAATGAATAGTAAAGATACATATAATCCCAGTGTGACATGGGAGGATTGGCCAAAGTGTGTATGGGAGGGGCCAAGTTTGGAGAAGGGCAGGATGAGCCTGGGACCTGACTGGGGAAACCTAACTGAAGCAAGGACAGTTATACCAGTTGGTGGTATGTAGTGGGAGTGAGGGGTGTCACTCAGCAAGCAGCTGAGGCTACATCATTTACAAAATACCCGCCCTTCCAGTAAGCTGCTTCCTGTGATATGGGTATACAGCAGCAGAGAGCAGGAGACAGCAATGTCTTACAAGTTAAAGGCTTTTACTGTACCAAGTAATGGCTTAATCAAACAGGGATGGGAGATTGGATCTGGAAATGTTGTGGGGGCAGAGGAGGACAGTGGTTACGTGTTGCACGTTACAGCGGGGCATGGGATTTAGGAGACAGACACACACCACTTCTGTCACATGCTTGAAGAAATGACTGTGACCACTATTTCATAAAACTGTCAAGGTTTTGGTCCATAGACCCAGGATGGGATTTCTCTCACCGGTCCTGTTAGTAGCTACACATTGCATACATTTCAAAGCATAACCATTATCTCTACTACACTATAACTAAATGTACAGGAGGAAGTAGCACTTGGGCAGTAGATAGCAACTGTGTGGCCTACTAGAAAGTCCTCTGGTAGAGCATTATTCCTAGCTCTGCTACAGGCCATCCTCTCTGTAAGTCCAAGATACATTACAAAAAACTTGGCCTTATGGCGAAACAACTTAAAGCAGGGAATTTTTTTTCCCACATCTGACTTCCATTTGCACAAATTGGGAGGGGTTGTGTGACTTAAGAGCAGGGAATTGGAGAACTTATAATGCAACAGTTCCTACGAGCATCAACAACTTTAGTGCAGAACGGATATATACCAAGGTGACTTATAGTGGGGTTACCCTGTCCTGGGCAGCTGAGTATCTGTGGGCAAGCCACTTTCCCTCTCTGTACCTCAGTTTTCAATCTGTAAAATAGAGATAATGAAAGAAATTCTTTGAAATCTAGTGATGAAAAGCACTGTTTAAACTTTTCTTTTGTTCTTTTGATTATTACCTAACCACATTAGCATATCAGTGGCAAATCTAAGTAAGAATTATAACTGCCCAAATGGCACTTAACTGCTAAGAAGAGACATATCTCTCTTTAAAAAATAGGACATGTAAGTGGCTAAAAATATTAATGCAGAGTTAAGGTTGCTGGCATTAGTGCATACCATTCCAGAACACAATGTTCAGCTAAATTCAAACTCGTGAAAACCAGAAAATACAGATATGGTGAATGCCCATATAACCTTAACTCTGCCCACTTTGAATAATGGCCCAAAACACACATACATGCATTCTTTCCTTCAACTGTAATGGACAAACACTGCCTGCACTGGCCTTGTGCTTAAACACTGAAACTACTTGACAGACTGAATACTATACTTGTAAAATGTAATAATCACTTTAAACCCCTTTATAATAAAAAATGTGTAGGTTGTGTCAGTAGCAGGGATCTGGTGTCTTATTGCTCTGGGGATTGTCAGTGGTGAAGTGGGATCTAAGAGCAGTCTGAGGATTTAATTATGGGTAAGGGAAAGTATAGTTTTAGATGGTATCCTCTGTGCAAGTGATGGGGTTGTAAAAAGGTATGAAGTAGTTGTTAAATTTCACAAGTGTAGTATTAAGTAATGGAAGTAGGCTCAAGGTTTGAGCATAAGACAGAATGTGAATGAGTGTGTTATGGGTGTTTAGGACATCATTTGAGAAGGCTGGTTGCTGGGTTTCACAAGTTTGCTGAATGCAAAGTTCTGGAAGGGCACAAGCTATCACCTGGTCACCTCAACTCTGTGTTAACAAAGCTTTTTTGCTATTTAATTTATACCAAGGGTATTTTATCCTTTTGGGGCAGGGTAAAGCAGCCTTAAAATGAGAGTATATGTAATTCAAGCGCACTTTAAGGCCCCATTCCACGGCTAGAGCAGTGTGCGGAGGTGTTTGTATAAATGAGAATCAGGACCTCCATCACAGGAAATGAGCCAGAGAAAGGATCAATCTCTTCTTCACAAAAAATTGATTTGGCACAAATATATATGATTTTTATTGTCAGCCCTCTGTCTGAGTCCAGTAAGAAGGTATCGGAAGGAGACAGTGGAAAGGGAAAACAAAAACAAAACATAAAAGTTATGTCTTGCACAGCAATCTGCTATCCTTGTTGACTGAAGCTCAGTGGCTATAGCTCCATATATATATATGTCAAAAGTAACATGTCCAAGGGGAACATCTGTCTCTCTGAAAGGAATTTAAAAAGCATTACAGACAATAGATTCTGAACTGAGGCAATCTCCAAACCCCTCAAAAGAAACAAAAACAAAACATAAAAGTTATGTCTTGCACAGCAATCTGCTATCCTTGTTGACTGAAGCTCAGTGGCTATAGCTCCATATATATATATGTCAAAAGTAACATGTCCAAGGGGAACATCTGTCTCTCTGAAAGGAATTTAAAAAGCATTACAGACAATAGATTCTGAACTGAGGCAATCTCCAAACCCCTCAAAAGAAAGAA